CATTCCTGCCACCCTTTTTCATAAAGGGCAACTCCCTGTCCTTGCCTTCCAGCCTGTTTTTCCTAAAAGGCCATTTCCCTCCACTGCAGCACAGCAGTCACATGAGCCACCCCACCATGTCCCTGTGATCCCAGCGAGGTCCCAGCCCTGCATGTGCCCACAGACTTCTGACTCCTCCTGTTTGCTCCCCATGCTGCACACACTGCTGGAAGGACATTTCAGGGAGCTGTCAAGGGTTAGTGATCTTTACAGCTTATGGCATAAGATACTATCGTCTCAGCTTCTCCCACAAGACAGATGAGTATTTTTGTTCTTTAAAAACAGTTTCCTTCACCTCTCCTTGTGCCCACATAAGTAAAGGCTTGTTACAGAAAAATAATATTTTTTAACAAGTGTTTTATTTGTGGCAGAGGGTTAACACTAATAACACAGAAAGTGTCAGGACTATAATTTAAAAGCTCTGTCTTGTGAGGTGGAATCAGGGCCATTATCTTTTGTCTTTGAAATTATTAATGCTGTTGCTGGGTTTTGTATTTTCTCTTGTTGAAGGACTCCCATGGCTGAACATGACTCCACTAGGGAATGATCTGCAGATTTCTTCCTGTTTGCTAATACCATATTCTGACACTGTGTCCTATAACAGGCTTATTAGGAAACTGAGGGAGTGTGGAGTGGACAGTGAGGTGGATTGAGAGCTGGCTGTGTGACAGAACTCAGAGGTTAGTGATCAATGGAGAAGGGTTGAGTTGGAGGCCTGTAACCAGTGGTGTCCCCCAGGGATCAATATGTGGTCTGGTCTTGTTCAACATAATCATAAATGACCTGGATGAGGGGACATCTAGTGTATCCTCAGCAGGTTTGCCTATCATACCAAACCGGGAGGGGTGGTGACACTCCAGAGGCCTGTGCTGCCATTCAGTGTGACCTGGACAGAGAAGAACCCAATAAGGTTCAAAAAAGGCAAGTGTAGGTTCCTGCTCCTGGGGAGGAAGAACCCCAAGCACCAATATAGGTTAGGGGTGGATCTGCTGGAAAGCATTTCTGAGGAGAAGGATCTGGGAGTCCTGGTAGATAATAAATCATCTATGAGCCAGCAGTGTGCCCTTGCTGCCCAGAAGGCCAGTGGAATCCCAGGGTGCATAAGGAAGAGTGTGGCCAGTAGGTCTAGAGAGGTCATTCTCCCCATCTATTCTGCCCTGGCGAGGTCACATCTGGAATACTGCATCCAGTTCTGGGCTCCCCAGTTCAAGAGAGACAGGGAACTACTGGAGAGAGTCCAGCAGAGGGGAACAAAGATGACTGGGGGATTGGAGCATCCCCCTTATGAGGAAAAGCTGAGAGAGCTTGGACTCTTTAGTCTGGAGAAGAAAAGGCTGAAGGCAGACCTTATCAATGCCTACAAGTATCTAAAAAGTGGGTGCAAGGAGGATGGAGCCAGACTCTTTTCAGTAGTTCCCAGTGACAGGATGAGGGGCAATGGGCACAAGCTGAAACACAGGAAGTTCCATTTAAATATGAGGAAAAACTTCTTTACAGTGAGGGTGACAGAGCTGCCCAGGGAGGTGGCCTGTGGAGTGGCCTGTGATGTGGAGTCTTCTTCTCTGGTGATACTCAAGACCCACTTGGATGCAGTCCTGAGTAAGGTGCTCTGGGCAATCCTGCTTTAGCAGGCGAGTTGGACTGGAAGATCTCTAGAGGTTCCTGTCAACTCTGACAGTTCTCTGATTCTGTGATGCTGTGATTCCCTCCATCAGTTCAAGGACAAGCAAACTATGTGGCTCCGTGATTTATCTAGGATGTGAGGGTATCAGGATCAAGCCCATGGTCCAAGTGAGCTAAGATCCCTGTGTCCTGTCCATGAACTAATGCGGAAAAGGGGGAAGGGAGTCTTCTTCCTGTTTGTTTTGCCTCAAGCAAGCCAGAGAGGAGGACTTTAAATAGTCATATGGGGCAAAAGGATTAATTAAGTGTTGAATGTTACCTGTGTTATTTCCCTGTAGTCCTTTGCTTTTCTCTCTTTGATAGCATTCTCCTTGTGAAGCCAATTAATTGATGTTTACAAATGGGAACCCAGCTCACTGAGCACCACTAAGTTTAATGTTTGTTTAATTTTTTCTGACAGTTCAAGACAGCATTGGTGACACTGAATTATGAACTTTTGTTGTCAGCTCCTGGCAGAAGGATTATGTGGGATAAAAACTCGAGGAAGGTTAATTATATTAACTCTATCCAAGGCTGCAGGCTGGGCTTTTTGGAGAGGTCTAGTCCTGTGCTTCTTTGGGGTCTAGTAAATTAAAATACCTGGCATGGCCAGCACTGCCAGCTTCCCTTTGAATGGCTGGGTATTACAGGAGGTCTTGGGGTGAGCCAGCTCTCTCCTGAACTCTTCCTCAACTGGTTTCTCCACTGCTTGACTATCTCTTGCCCTTGTCCCACTTCATGTCCACACAGACATTCCTTGATTTGGTCCTCAGATCTGGACCAGTTGTCTTTCACTTTATAGTGCAATATACTGCACTATATAGCACTATGTTAGTAATTTGTACAATTTATAACTGAAAATAAAGAAATAAACATTTAAGTAGTTTTACGGCTCTGCGAGGAAAATACACACCACCTCAAGTAAGAAAAATGAAGTGCAGCTCTTGTTGCATCCAGGTGGGCTTATGATTTTCTTACTGGCCACTTGTGACAGACTGCCCTTTTGCAAGGAATATAGCCAACAAGAATTGCATCTGCAATTGTTTATCATTGCCACCTTAGACACCCTTTATATAACTAGAGTAGCAGAGTCTTGGAGTGAACTCAATTACTTGGTGCTCAGTCAATCTTTGAATTAGAGTATTAAGACACTGACATCTAATTCAGGCAGCTGTACAAAACTGTGCCTCTCGACATGGAAATGCACAGCTGTCCTGGTTTGGTTTGGTGGGTGTTTTGGTAGCAGGGGAAAGGCCCCAGGGGTGGCTCTGGTAAGAAGCTGAGAAGCTGCCCCTGCTCTAAACCCAGCCAAGGATCCATTAGAGGGACAATAGATGCACCCCAGCAATTAACATACGAAAGAACTGAGATAACACCTGAGCAGAGAAGGATTTAAGGGAGAAGAGCTGTGCTGGGGAAGGAGAGCAGTGCTGGTGGTTGGTGAGGAAGAAGGGGAAGAAGGTGCCCAAGCAGAAGTTTCCCTGCAGCCCATGGCGAGATGGCAGCTGTGCCCCTGCACTCAGGGAGGGTGGAACATTCCCTGGGGGCACCAGAAACTTGGCCACTGGACTTGGATTTTGTGACCAGTGGATTTGCTGCCTGTGGACTCTGATCATGCAGCTTTGGAAGACCCGGGTGCCAGGGGAGTTTGTTCCCGAAGCAGCCCCTGACTCTGTGGGAAGCCCAGGCTGGAGCAGCTCTGGACCTCGTGGGAAGGACTCATGAAGGAGAGGTTCGTGGAGGACTCTCTGCCATGGGAGGGACCCCGTGGAGAAGCAGGGAAGGACTGTAAGGAATCCTTCTTCCTGAGGAGGAAGGAGCAGCAGGAACCACCAACCTGTGAACTGACTCTAAACCCCATCCCCTGTGCCCCTGTGCTGCTGGGGGGAAGGAGGGAGAGAAACCGGGAGCAAAGGGATTTGGGCCCGGGAAGAAGGGAGGGCTGGGGTAACATCTGCAAGCTCTGCTCTTTGTGTTGTCTGTGTCCTGAGTGTGTTTGCCTCGTGTTAAAGTAAATTATTATTCTTTTTCCCTGAGTTGAGCCTGTTTCACCTAGGACTTTAATCGATGAAGAGCCCTCCTTGTCCTTTGTCTCAGCCCATGAGCTTTGTCCTTCTTATCCCAGTGTGTGTGTTTAGGGAGATGAGTGAGCGGCCACGGGGCTCCTTTGTTGTCATGTTGGGCCCAAACCATGACAGCAGCAGCAACTAGATCAGGCTTATTAGTAAACATGGGTCTAAACAGTGGTTAAAAGGAAAGAACTGTCATTTTCCACAAGGATGCTGGCATGGCCTTTTGTGTGCCATTTATCAAAGAGATTTTTTTCAGTGCTGCACATTTCATTTGTCTCTGTGGCTCAATGGCACAATCTGAAATACACAGCTACTTACCAAAAAATTATTTAGACCTGTTGTCTGACACTGAACTTCTTGAGCCAGAAAGGTAAAGGAGCTGCTGAAAGGACTGACAAGCTTAATGATGGATCTTGAGACAGATCCACTAGGGGAATGCTCTGCTGTTATTTCAGCAGGTGGTATTATCTGTTTTGGTATTTCTTTCCTGGGAACTCTCACCAGGGAAAGACCTATTACTTTTTAGAGGCTTTGTTTCATGTTTTTGGGTGGCATCCAAATACTTCAGTCTTGCAGAGAAGTCCTCTAGACCAAAATTTCAGTAGAAAATCTAACATAGCAGGACAGATCTCTGCCTCATGAGGGGGTCTTTTCCGCTTAACCTACAGCAAGTCAGTAACTATTTTGTTATGCAGAAGACTCTGATCCTGGCCAGCAGATGAACAAAGAGGGATGCTGAAATCCTTGGCAAATGTGGCATATCTGTACAGAGCTGTAGCACAGCAGAGCTTTACTCTGTAAAAACAAGTAGGCTGCATAATAGCTGGAGATAAGAGAGGAACTTAAATGCTGAAAAATGCTCTAGTGCCGCCTACAATTTTGAGTTGATGGAAATACACACTGTTAAAGCACAACTCTGAGAAACAGACAAACAAAAGATAGAAGGGATTTCAGCCTATACCTGCTGAAGTGGTGGAAGGAACAGCAAATGAAATATAAATCAAAATATAGAAATATGTAGAACATACTATATAATTGTGTGGCCAAGAACAAATATAAATGAAGTTAAGCAGTGATGCTTTTTCTCTTCTGCTGTGTGGACTGCTGTTAAAGTGGACATTTTCAAGACTGGAAGGCTGACTGGAAATGGATGGATAGATGGGTATGCCATTTAGGTTGTGGTTTTCTTTGTCCATCAGATAATTACCCATTTGCAAGCTATCTGTCCCCATACAACATCCTTAATGCTCTGGACTACAAAACATCGAGGAAATGCAGGCTGAAAATTGGCAAAACAGTGTGTTAAACTGATATGGTCAAAAAAACACTAGTATGTTATCAGAAGGTGAAATTTATACTATTTCTTGGAAAAACAAAACATACAATGTCTTGCAAAGAGAAGCTGTCATGTGAACATACAACTATTTGGTTTTTTTTTTTCCTTCTATAAAGCAATTCAATTTAGTAAGAAGAGAACAAACTCCCACACTGCACAAATCACCCTCAATCTGACCAATCCAGCATTACTGGACTAAATTTACTAGGACAAATCCAGCTGATTCCTTTGGGAGATCTGGACAGTCTTAGTTGTTATTCCTACCCTGCAGTATTCAACATTTGTTTTGGATGCTATTACTGCAGGAATTACAAAATTTATCTCTTCACATCTTCAAGATGAAGTACATGTAGGACATTATGAAGAGAACTTCTTACTTTTCAAATTCAATCCAACCACCCTTGAAACAAGTTCCCTTGTCTAACCTACTGCATACTCCATCATGCAGTGCTGCCCACTTCACTGCATCTATGACAGCATCTGGCACTCTGTAAATCCCTGGCACTGAGACCACATGATGGAAGACTACTAGGGTTTTTTTTAAAGTAAAATTTCAAAACCTTGTTTTGAATAATATTATGTAAAAAAAAAAATTCCCAGGCACACTCTACAAAATAATGTTGATCTCACTTTCTGGCACTGACTGGCAGGGCTGCTTTCCTGCCTGCAGCTGGCTGGAATTCTGGCCACCAGATGGCTTTCCTGGCCTCAGCTACCAACTCACATCCACAAGCTAAGGAAACTTCTCCAAGTTTGCATGAACCAGCCCAAATCTTACTTGTGTAGCTGTACCATGACTCTGAAATAAAAGGATGCATAATGTCCAGCCTAGGAAGTCTAACTCTAGCTACAGTTAACCCTAAAATTAGTTCAGATCAGGGTAGGGTGAGCCTGTATCCAGACAGCCACATTCAGTGCTGCTTATTTTCATTGTGGGTTTTACTTTTCAATTATTGTTTCTAAGCGTGGAGTATGTTTGCATAAGGAAAGTTAGGTGGTAAAGGTATTTCCCCTGTGCCAGATGGTTCACTATTTAAGAACACATTCTAAGAGAACCTTTACTTTGACCTGTTGCATATACATGCCAGGCCTGTTGTGCAAGATCTTGATGACTGGCCAGATCATAAATCTAATAGAATAGCACTTGCAGAGCCTTCCCATGGCAGCAGGTGCAGTGGCCATTTTAACAGGATTAAATGTTAAAGCAGATTTTGTTCACACATTGTCTAAATCCTCAAGGAACTGCACAACTCCTACTGAAGCCAGTGGAGATTGAGAAAGGAACAACTCAAATGCTGAAGTGCTCTGGAATTTGAGTTGCCTTCTCCATGAACACAGCCTATTTTACAGTATAAAATTACAAAGAAAAACTAAGAATTCAGGCATAGTACTGACTAATCTGTTTTGATTTTTTTTTAATTGATTATGAAAATGCAAGAAGACAAAAACAAGTATTATTAGGTCTGAGTCTTTGCTACATGCTGCTTCAAATGCAAAAGAACTTTTCTGCTGAGATAAATCAGTTAAGTGAATTTTATCATAAAAAGTGGGGTTTTTTTAAAATCTTTGCCTTTCAGGGCAATTTAACTTAAAAGGAAAAAGACCAACTGATTTTCTAAACATATTAGCTCTTGAGAAGCTTGGAAAGGAGAAAATCACAGCTGAACTAGAGAGATCCCTTTGAACAGTGAAATTTTCTTTGGTGTTCCCTCAGCAAATCACTTTAAAGGTCTTTAAAGGTCTTATGCAGTCAGCAGTTAAAAATCTCTCAGCTATGATGTTCTTGATAATGTTTGCCCTGACAAATTACTCACTCAGTTTTCCCTTGCTTAAACCATTTTGCAGAATCAACAAGTCCCCACATCTGTTGTGGAAACATTGAGAAAATGCTCAGGTGAAACCTAGACCCCACTGAAACAAATGCCAATTGTTCTGTGCAGTTTAAGGCAGCCAGGTTTCACTTTTTTAATCCTCCCATGCTACAACACCTTTAGCTATCACCTGTGTTCCTGGACAGAACTGCAAAGGCTCGAGCAGACACGACTTCAGGTAGACACCATCCGGGTCTTTATTTCTTTTACTTCTAGGAGATCATAGAGACAGATAAAGTACAATTTTACTTACTTTCAGATGTTCGACTAGCCGTGACTGCTAGAATAACCAGAACAGTGACCAAGTTCACATCCATTCCTCCTAGGATCTGTGGGAATGCAGCCACCGAGGTGGCAGTGAGCTGCAGGAACTAACGCCTGACCCAACTTCCCGGCTGCTGGGGCAAACGTGACTCAAAGCCCCACCCTGAGCAGCAGCTCGACGTCGGCTCCATCCTGTGTGGCACTCTGGACTTCAAGCAGGATTCCTCTTCTTACTTGTAGACACGTTTTGCCAGGTGGGAAAACAGGCTATTTGTCACATAGTACCCCAAGATCCTGCTGGATCCTCACAGCCCTTATGGCTGCCTGCGATGAGGCTCTTCAACAACAGAGATGCCAAGGGTAGAAATACTTCAGAAAGATATATTTGCAGGATTAAGGCAGAATTATTAAAAAAGTCTGCTATTAGGTATCATCTCAGGCCAAACCTGCTGTAGTATAAACAGGAAGGACCTCAAGAAACCCCTAGCCTTGCACTAGCTTTGCATTTGACCTGTGCATCTTCAGCCTGTAGAGACCCTGAGCAAGGGCCATGTTATTTAGCACACCTTAGCCTCTTGCTCCTGCTTGTCCACTGCTAATGCAGCAGCTGTGTTGTTCATGGAAGAGACTTTGCAATGTTTTTGGTGAAAGACAGCTGGGAAGAAACTGCAGCTGGGCCCTCCACTTTTAACCTGATTCTTGTTTCTGGAGCTCATTACAGTAATTTCCTATGATACCAGAGGAACACTCAGTCTGAACAAACACGTGGCTTTCAGTGGGGAAAAAAAATAAAAGATGCCTATTCAGAGGCTGGTAATTTCTGTAATGTTTTGCTGAGTGGCATTGGAAAAGTCTTCTTATGAGTCATGCAGGCGATGGGGAAAACTGTTTCTGGGGAAAATAACTCCTCACATTTCCTGCCACACTTGGCATACATCATTGGTTTAAATCTTCTAAACCAAAAAAAGATTCCTGTGCCATCTCTGCCTGACTTGAACACCACGGCTGAACAGCAAAGAGCTGCTGTATTTTGCAGCACTCCACCCCTGTCATTGCAGTGCAGGCTGTCTGCTTTGACCTTTTCCAGGGCTAAACTGGAAAAATCAGTCAGAAGAAATTGCTGACCTCAGGGACTTTAATCTACACTTACACTGTCTCAACACCAGCTTTGCAATTCCCTCTAATAATAAATTCATATAGTGCAATCAGACTTTCCAGCTATCAACTGTTTTACTTCATAGCTCTTGATTTCTGCTTGACATGGTTATCTACCAGGATAAGAGAATAAGGCAACTGCAGAGTATTACACTTTCGAATGAAGGTCTACTGTTAAAAGGAGAAAGAGTAGTAAATAATGTCTGCTGTTCAAAGTATGATTTCAGGGAATTCATTTATGATGAAATAACAACAAGCTGATTCATTGACATAATTTAATTACAGTGAAAAATCTGTTACAAAACCTATTCCACCATGGTCAAAGCTAAGACAGCTCACAAGACCTTTATCAACACCAACTTAGATAAGGACAAGACTATTAGCAGCATTAATGTCCTTCAAAGTAGCACAAGGAACAAGCTAGATTAAAAGAAATACAGTAAGACAGGTGTTACTGAACTAATGTTAATGAAACAGCTTTAGTCAGTACTGATTTGATTTTGTATTCCAGAGTCAGCTTGGCACTGCAAAACAGAGTGCTTTGTGTCCTTCTGGATAAATAACTAGTTTGTTCTGACAAATGCCTTGCATGTGAACTTACACTTTTAAATCTGATACAGATTACAAAAGTCTCACCGCAGTAGGAGTATGGAGTATGGGGAGCTGTAGCAGTGATGGAGATGGGGGGAGGAACCAAAGCACCCCACATTTCATAAGACTGGTTCTTGCAGTGGCAAGTCCAAAGTGTTCCCAGATGGTTGCTCTCTGCTGCTGGTCACAAACTAGGGCATACTGAATGAAACTTGCTTCTTTGGTCACGTTACTCAGTTTGAGCTCAAGTTTTAAATCTTATGTTCCCCCAGAGTTCACAGTGTAATTTATAGGTCCAAAATAAAGTAAATGTCTATATACTTCAATGGGAAAGTGCAGCAAGGAAATTATGATTATGTCAGACCCGGAACACAATTTCCACTTTATGGAGGCAATATAATATATAATCAATTAAAAATGCTAAACCTATTAAAGCAGGACAAAATGTAAACTAAGGAAACAATTCTGGTTTATGACATTGAGGAATTAAAAATAAAAATAAAGCTAGGGAACAATAGCAAATATTGTGCTACAGCTCCACCTGAATATGCAGGCAGCCATCCAGCTTACAGAGGACAAAGAAGTTAGCCAGAAATTCTTTTCCAAGAATTGCACTGACACTTGACAGTGGCATTAATTACAAGTACAGCTAAAGGCAAGTGAAGAGTTTTATTGAAATATTGGATTGGATTGCAGTCAAAGCACAAATGAAAATGCAAACCTGGAGGCAGAAAGTGTTGCAAATGAGAAGGCAGTCATTCTTCTATCCTGAGAAACAAAGCAAATATTTGTTGAAGTTCTACCTTTTATTTGTGAATGTAGGACTTCTGGGAATGCTAAAACTGACATCTCTTAATCTAGGCTTTCAATTTTTTGAGCAGAGGTTAAGGACTGTAACTTCTTCTACATTAATAATATAATAATATTATAATATAATAATTATATATTATATATATAACTATATGTAAGATATATAATTCAGTTATATATACCTTTCTCCAATTACTTAAGCAGTGTTAACTGTGCTTCTTTAACCCATTCCTTGCCCTCTGACAAGAGGTGCTAACAGAGGCAAGAAACTGACTGGCATTGAAAAAAGTGAAAATATCTGTGAAGTGAGCAAGTTGAGGCTGATAAAGTGACTCCGTATCTCTGTGAAGGAAAGAAATGGAAACTGCAGGGAAGGTGGGCATGAAAATGCTGCAGGCTAGAAAATGAGAGGCAGACACCCAGAAATCCATTTCTGAAGAAGCAAAGAGTACCATTTGATAGAAAGCTGTGTTAGCGTCACTTAAACGGTTCTGGGAAGTCAGCCTCAAGCAGAGCCCCAGCATTCACCTCAAGAACCTTATTCAAGAATTCCAAGGAGTGCATCAATGCTGGGCAGCTGGAAAATTTGTCTTCCAATGGTGTGTTTGAGATAGCCAAATTATAGCCCTTTCCATATTTCCTATATGATATTGAACAGGTGACATACTATTATGGAATCATAGAATGGTTTTGGTTGGAAAGGATGTTAAAATGTCATCTAGACCTGACCCCTAAGCCATGGGACACCTTTCACTACAGCAGGTTGCTCAAAGCCCCATCCAACCTGGCCTTCAGTATTCCCAGTAAGGGTGCAGCCCCAACTTCCCGGGGCGACCTGTTCCAGTGTCTCACCACCCTCACAGGAAAGGATTTGCTCCTATACATCTAACTTAAATCTACTCTCTCTCGGTTTGAAACCATTGCCCCTTGTCCTGTCACTCCATGCTCTTGTAGAAAGTCCCACCAAAATGGTGAAGGTACAGAAGTTCTACTGACAAACTATATATAATCAGTGAAAGTTCACGCCCTACAGAGGCACTATCTGACTACACAGGTCAGTGGTCTAGTTCAGAGTGATGCTTTTTTTCTAATCTGTTTCTCCTGAGTCCTAAAAGTCTGAAGTTGGCTTTCAGGACAACATGTATTCTGAGCATCTATTCTGATCTCCCCGTTTTTCAAAAAACTACATTGTATGTATAGAGGGATAACAAAAAGTAACATATATTCAGTGGAAACTAATTAAATCAAGTTTTTACAAAAGTCTGGTGCTCTTTTCTACCAACATCAATAAACACACGAATGTTCTGGTCTTGCACTTTGGCTGAGAAGATGTTTACGGTCCGAAGGGACTTACGCAGAGAGAAGGGCAAACATGACCGCTGCGCGGGGTTGTACCAACACGGGGCGTGTGGGGCACGGGCTGCACGTTGCATCCAGGCATCAGGCACCAGGATCAGCAGCCCTGCACCAGTTTCACAGGGAACAAATGTGATTCTCCCTCTTTCCTGACCCAGCTTCATTGACTGCTGCAGTGGCTTGTGAAGTCATTATTAACCCTGAACTATGATCTCTTGCAGCCCTTGTTTATACTAGGAAATTAAATTTTGTCCTATAAACCCTCATGGCCACGTTTTTGTTATTTATCTAGCACTGAGATTTGTATACAACTTCACATGATCACACATCTGCCAGGTAACAGGTAGTCCCCTCACAGCTCTGAGACTATGGCCTACTCATTAGTCTCACATAGTACACTAGGTTTTTCATCCAGATAGTTAAATTCACCCTTCCTTCATGTGTCTCATAGTCTGGGATAAGAAGTAAGAGGGCAGCTCTAATGAAGAATCTTTCCTTTCTGAAAGGGTCTCCTGGCCCCCTAACTGTGAAACAAGAGTGGTGTGCTTTCACCTCAGGCTCTTGCATAGATTTCCTATCAGTGTCCATCCTGTTTCAGGAGCTCCCAGGTAGCTTGGCAGAAGTGGGGAAACTCACCATATAAGGAGCATTCATGCAAAAGTGCTTCTCCCCACATTTTTGTGACTTTTTTAGTTAGTTAGTTAGTTTGCTTTTTTGTTGTTTATTTTTTTTTCCCCAGAGGGCACAAAAGAACTTCAGTATACAACTCTGTCATGTGTTACAATGAAACAGTAGGCAGGACTGCAAATGGGTTAATTTCTACCACCTCATTTGTAGAAAATCCACTATGCCCTGTTCTTGAAAAAGACCTTCCTGTACAGTAATGGGAAACATACACAGCAAATTTCTGAACAGTAAAATGTTGCAGGAGTTGGATATAGATCCTCCCTGTCCTCCTCCATGATTGCACTGTCTGTGTAAAATCTACTTAAGAAAAAAGAAAAGGTATGGCATTCGTGGCAGCTCTTGCTTTGGGATACCAGATGTATGAGCTTCAGAAGTCTAAGGGGTATGGGAAATACCAACATTTTGAAAACAGAAGTACTGATTTGCATGCATTAGTTTTAATTCGCATTTATAA